AAAAGAACAACAAGAACACTAACCAACATAACTAGATAAATTAATAATGTTGAATCATTGCAAAAATGTCATTCCAACATGAAACATACGTCTCCAATATTCAAACGTTATATGAAATCGATAATAGGATTGTGATGTCTACGATGAAACAAGAATAAGTATAGTACGAATGCGAAAAGAAGACGACAAAAAATTGAAGGGACACGTCAGAGAAGTAATTTGTTTTTATTCAATAACTCATGTTTTGGTTTTTGTTGACTTAATAAAGCATTTAATGAATGTGGTTGTTTCGTCGTAAGAATAAGTTTTAGTTTGTTATGCTGCTTTGACGATGCCGTAGATGTATTCAAATGTGTAGATAAAATTTTATGTAATTGTTCATGAAACTGACGTTTTGGACCATATTCATATAAATAAGATAATCGAATACGTTCATGTTTTTTTTCTGCTTCTCGATTTGTCTCCAAAATGTTTCGTTGTTCACTGATAAAATTAAATAATCGACGACGAAGTTTATTGTAAACATGTTGATCCAAAGATGAACGAAGAGATTCAGCATCGAAATGTTTAAAAAAATGATCAATTTGTTTTTCAATAAATTCTAACGTATAACCATTGGCTAAACAAGTCATTTCGAGATAGATGCGTTCTTGATTAAAATCATGTACTGATGTACAATAACGAACAGCACGAATTAAAGCTGAACGAAACCAATGACTATGTACTACTTTGGCATGGCCAATGACATAAGGTAAAGTGTATGGTTGTATGGTTGATTCATGATATACACGACTATATAAAGTACCATTTTGATTTTCAATATGAGCATGTAAGAATCGAACACTGGAACCCATTTTTACGTCAAGATGAATATCTGAATTTTGATTAGCAATCATTTTAATCATAGTTTGAAATTCGTTGATGGTACCGTTCCATGTAAAAATAAAATGATTTTTACATCTCAAATATGCAGACAATAATACTAGATATATTTAAATTCGATGAAAACAATCTTACCTGCCATAAAATTGATCTCGTATTAACGGTTGTTGTACTAGTAATTTTTGCCATTGTAATATATAACAATTACATAAGGTTTCTGTCAATGGAAAACTCATTGGACTACCTTTGGCAAAACGATAGATTTTATGATCATAATAAAATCGATTATTATGTAGAAATAAAGCAGTTAAACGGATTATTCTACCCATAGATATATTATTGATAGTTGGCATGATTAGATAATTTGTTAAAAAATCTTGAAGTGCAATAAGCATCGTTCCATGTGCAACCATAGTGTAAAAATTGGAAATTTTGATGGTGACAAACTGTGTTGTTGGACGAAGACGATGCTGGGGTTGTTCGATATAATCATTTAATTTTCGAATAAAATCAGCTCCATTCACAAATGTTGTTGATGCAAGTTGTCTTTCTACAACAGGTCGTAATAGTTGATCTAAAAAGTGTGCTAATCGAGCTGTTGCACTATGTTGTGTAACAACGACCGGTTGTACGAATAGATCATCTTTCTAATACGGTATAAAAAGAAGAATCGAAAAAAATTCAAATATTCGTTAAAAAAAAACTCATCTTACTTGAGAAATATCCGGTAGAAAGTACAAATAAGGTAGTTCAACTTTATCAATTGTTATATATAGTTTGTCGAATACATTTTTATTTGTTTTACCATGGAACATCTCTTGAAATGCTTCATTCAATGATTTTATCATTTTTGTTAAATAGTCACGTGTCTCTTGTAGATTTTCTTCATTGATATTTTTACAAAGTTCGAACGTATCCGTTGTTTTCATATATTCGTTTGTTTTCTCTTCGAATTCTGGTCGATGGGCAAGATAAAAAACATTTCGTCGATCAGCTGTTCGTCGTAACAAAAGATCATGTGTTTTGAAATGTTCTCGAATGGATTGTACCAAATGTTTTTCATAGAGAGCACGTTGACGAAGAGAGTTGGGTAATGAAATTGAAAAGATATTGGTATAGAGATTTTTAATCTCATTATTAATAAACATTAATCGAGCCGGATTCATCTGACATTTCTGAAAAAGACTACTTAAATGATGTTGTAATACTTTGTACTGTTTTTGAATTATCTCCTTCATGGATACACATGATGATGATGATACATACGCGTGACATAGTGGAACATAGGTAGGTCCACGATTTAATAATTTTAATTGTTCTTCCGTTAATAGATGTAATGGAGTACCCATAATCATGGTCGGTGAAAAAGAAACACTTGGTATACTTAATGTATCTTGTTGTAAATCATCATCATCATCATCATCGTAATGATGTCGTAAATAATAATTGATTTTAAAATTGGATATACAATCAAATTTTTGATTCATAATATTGACACGTCGATAGATAAGATCCATTAATTTTTCTGAAAACCCTTCCTGGATATCTTTATCATAGATAGAAAGTCGATAAATTTCTTTATGGAGTAATTCTCGACATTCAAGAATTTTATTTTCTGCTTCAGCAATAGATTCAACCATTAGATTGGTCAGTTTTTCTTGTAATTCTTTTGCTTCTTGATCTAGTAGTTGTTGAAAAATTCTGGCATCTGTCATTGTCGTCGGATCCCATGTCGATGTCGGCATCATCGACAATGCTTTCAAATAAATGCTTTTTGTTGGCTTATTACAAAGAATTCGTTGTTTTAAGTCGATCAATTTGTATTTGGCTTGTACGTAGGCAAGTCTTAGACTATAGAGACGTTGAGCGACTTCTTTCTGAAAAGGAACAAGTTTTTGATGACATTTGTAAAAAAACATGATTGCTCTTACTTCGTAGTCTGTCGGTTGATGGCGCATATATTCACGTTCAAGTAATTGCTCATCATAATCATATTCTAAGATGG